GCGACTGTTTGATAAATGCAAAATTTCGTGCATCCGTCGCAACGCATGGTGCATCCCCTGTGACGGATGGCATGGAGAAGCTCAGACATGTTTTAGGCCTCTCTCCGTGCCATGATCTACTTGAATTTCAACCTAACCCTCTTCCAAAGCTATTTAACAATCCAAAAACCATATCAGTGATTCAAAAATATTATTAATTTATAAATTATTTAATTTTACCATTTTACCTTCCTAAACACTTAAATTTTCAAATTTTGAAAACTCAAGGTGTTACACTACAGTGATAAGATTGGCAAAAATCGTGTTCTCTTCCACTAACTTAGGGCCATTGATCATCAGTGGGTCATCATCATCTCATCTCTAACACACAAGGCATCGGGTGGCGACGAAACAAAGGCTTTAACTTCAAGGGCTAATTGTAAGCATGGCACCTTGATGGCTAGTTGCACACCCACTACTCCAGATTGATGAGAGATGGCAGCCATCCGAGCATCAATGTGATTAAGGTAGGAGAACTCTCAATGAAAGCATCATTTGTCATTATCATATTCATATTTGATAAAAGAAAGAAAGATAAATAACCCGGGGGAAGAGGGAAGGATAATAGTCTTAAGGAAGAGAGATGAAATACATGAGAGAGGGAAGACGCTCACCAAAATCATCGACACCTCCTAGACCTTAGTGTCCATCTTTCATGCCTAATCCCTGCCCAAAACCCAGATCTGGCCCAATCCTTATAAGAAATCTTATATTATTATAATAAAGCCTAGCCCATTCATTATAGACTTCAATTCTTGAAGCTGAATTGCTTGCTATTAAATCTGGTCTACCACTTTGCGCTTCGTTGAGTAGACAGCGATGACAGCTTGGTTCTTCAGCATAGCCACGACAACGACAGTTGGGTTCATGAAAGGATGAAGGAAAGGCACAGAGGATCAGAATGAAGGAGGAAGAGTGGAGGGGCGATGAAGAAAGACTGCAAAGGCAACAGGTACAGTTGAGAAAGTTTGCATTATTTACAGTAATGCCATTAATGAAAACAATGTGTTCTCCTCTTCCTCATTGTTTTTCAAAACAATAATCCAAAAGGCCAAAACATCTTAAAGATGTTCTCATTTTTTGGTTCTTTAGAACATTATTGGTTTTTTTTTTTTTTGGTTTTTATTTCTAGTTTCATTGAACAAAAAATTATTCTCAAAACAAGATTCCAAACAGGTCCAAAATTAGCCATCCCTTTCTTTTTGCAAAGGTTATTTTAAGAAATGAATCAGTAATCGCTAAATTACTTAGCAATAATTCAAAAAGAGACGTCCTGAAAATGACGAATTTGCAGTTTTCATGGCTAAATACATATAGATGCTGCAAGAAGTCTGGAAATGCAAAATATAATAGATGTGTACTATATAGTATTTGAGTGGTTATTGATTAAATAAGAACCAACCAAATGCAAGCATCTTAACATCTTCCATTATATTTGCTCAGTAACAACAACATCTATCACGGTTCCATTGTATTGTGCTTTCATGTTCAATGCCAACAAAAAAGTCACACTTGATAAATCCACTTATAAATTGGAACCCTTCAACTCAGTTTTCACTCAAATGGTATTTATTCATCGTAACTGATGTTGAATGATGTTGCACCAACTATATAAATATTCTTGCGCTCTTCAACACTGTCATCCCATCGATATCAGTAGATCTCGGTGAGAATATCAAAATCCAGACAATTATCTCCTTTCATTACTGATACGAGGTCATCCAGAATTTCATAGATTAAACTTGAAGAAGTATGGACTTTATCAGCAACATAAAATGAATAAGTCTTACCACTAATAGTTATCCAGCTGCAACCTGGGACCTTTCTTAAACCTCTCTCTTTCATCATTGTTCTCATTTCGGCTACAACGTCCCATCTTCTGTAAGAAGCATATAAATTTGACAGCGAGATATAATTTGATGGATTTTCCGGTTCTAGCTCTAGCAGAAACCTATAAGCCAGGTCTCTGGTCACTGAATTCCCATGCATTATGGAAGCACTTAAAAGAGCTCCCCAAACACTTGCACTTGGCTCTACAGGCATTTCTCTAATGAATTTCATGGCTTCATCAAGTTGTCCTGATCTACCTAACATATCTACCACACAAGCACAAATTTCAGCTGTTGGTTTCATTCCATACCTAGTCATGAACGAGTCATAAATACTGAGGCCTTGATCTACCAATCCCGACTTGCTACAAGCAGAAAGAACACCAACCACTGCAATCATATCTGGCTTGGTTCCAGGCTGAAGCATTTTATAATACATATTGACAGCATCCTCCCCTCTCCCATGTAATCCATATGCAGAGATCATTGAACTCCATGAGATGGAGTCTTTGTAGAAAGCGCCATTGTCAAATACCCGTCGTGCATAACTCAAACTCCCACATTTGGAATACATATCAATCAAAGCATTACATAAGGAAACATCATGATTCAAATCCATTTTAATTGCAAAACAGTGAATCTGTTTCCCTCCGGTTAATCCAGCAAGCGAGCTACAAGCTGGAAGCACGCTCACGAGAGTTACCTTGTTGGGTTGTATCCCAGCTTTCACTTGCATTTCATGTAGAAGAGAAGCTGCTTCTTCAGGTGCTCCATTTTGTACACAACTCTTGATCATTGCCGTCCACACATGTACGTTTCTGCACCTCATTTGATCAAATACGCGTCTGCTATGAGCAACTCTGTTACTTCTTGAGTACATATCTATTAAAGCCGACCCAATATGAACATCTAAGTCCATCTTTAAATCCAATTCATTCTTCACAAGAAAAGAGTGAAGTTCCTTCCCATAATCCCATCTCCCAGTATTGCTATCACACGCAGGCAGGATACTTGCAATCGAATAAGCATTAGGCTTAAACCCATCATTTTGCATTCGTCGGAAAAAATTCCATAAATCTATATGGGACATACAATCCTCTGAGGCAGCACATCCTGCAATGATGACATTCCACGAAGAAAGGTTCTTCTGAGGCATTTCATCGAACAGCTTCCCAGCTTCACCTAATTCACCGCATTTGCAGTACATTGACATCAGAGAATTGGCTACAACAACATCCGAGACAAACCCAATAATTACACACCTGGCATGAATCAATTTCCCAGAAATCAAGTCCTCAATCTCAGCAGAAATCTTGGAAAGTGTGGCAAGAGTATAATCGTCCGGCAATATACTACTACGAATCATTTCGTGGAACATCGCAAAAGCTTCATCAAAGGCGTGATGTTTCGCAAAGCCATTAATCAACGAGTTCCAGAGATAGATACTCTTGAGAGCAATGGAGTCAAAGACGAGTCTTGAGTTGAATAAATTTCCGCACGCAGCGTATGCAGAAACGAGTCGAGTGTAGAGGAAAGCGTTCTCGTTAAAGCCCAGTGCGAGGATTTGAGCGTGAGATTGCTGTGCAAGTTTCAGAGAACGATGATGAATGGAGAGTTGAAGTAAATCAAGGAGATGCAGAGGCGAGGGGAAGACAGTGGCAGAAGTGCAATAACGCGAAGTTGGGACGGCAACTTTAAATGCCCTGTGGAGAAACATAAGATCGGAATTGCTTCAAGTTTCAGCCTTTCAGGCTGCAATGCTTTGATGATAGAAGAATAGAGCACCGAACTGAAGCATGCTGGAGTTTGCAGTCTAGGCATTTTGATTTTGATTTTTCTGAGTGCAAAACGCCATGGCACGCGCCAAAATAAATTTATAGGGATATATATATATATATATATATATATGAGCTGCTATGGAAATTAAAACTTAAAAGGACTAAACAATTATTTTTTTATTTCCGATCATGTTTATTCTAAAAACTAAACATAAACATAAACTATCTAAATTAAAATATGAGAAATTTAATCATTTAATCCATAATTTTGATTGAGTTAAAATTTATTTATTTCATTTTGATCTAATATAATTCAATTTTTATAATTTCAACAGATCAAATTAAAGACATTAGACTCTATAATTTAAAAATAATTTTAACCTTTATAATTTTATTTTCTAAAGTCTAGGGTCTAACATAATTGAATTATACAATGTTAAAATTGAATTTTAATCAAATCAAAATTATAAATTAAAATTACACTGAGTCAAAATTTAAACACTGACTCTTAATTAAATTAAAATTATAGATACTAAATGATTAATCCCTTCAATATCAGTGATGTTCGCTGTAGTTTAATAAATTTCCAGGCAAATCATTTCACTTCCAGTGCATCGAGCTTTGCTTACGACACTACTCCAAACAAAATTCTGTACAAATAAATTTGAGGTTCACTATTATCTTCAATGATTAAATTTATTTATCCCCCCTCTAAGAGTGACCAAAAAAGTGAACTCTCGAAGTACAGATACTAGCAGAATGTCAAAATCCGTGATATACTGCTATACTGCTATATCGATAGGATAATTAAAAATATGATATCGTGAAGATATGTGAGATGTAAAGAATCAAATTCTGTGTTCATCAATCTAAGCCTAATCCAAGATTGATTGATGCGAAACAAATGATAAAGTAAAGAGCATTTTGTATTGTGTGTGCCTTAAACAAACATAAAGAATAACATGACAAAGATGTCCGAAACAACTCAACATTGAGTTGTTCTTTCTAACACCAAAAGCTGGCGTTTCTGGGATATTTTATTCACTCAGTGCGTACTTTTATTTATTTGCACAACTTTCCTATTGCGATGATGCAATTAGTACTTCATTATTTCTGAGTCCCTTTGGAATTTCAGATTGACTTTACAGCTTCTAACTCCACTTGGTTTCAGAATAGTGCAAGAGAAAAAAAGCTAAAAGGCCATGAATCACTTGCAAGATTATGTAAAAGGAAGCGTGGTCTTGCATTTTCTTTCGGTATCTTGTCAGACGTTGGAAGTTGCTGAACTTCTTGTAATCTAAAAGCAATAAAGCGAAGTTCATTTCAGTTTAAAAGCAGAATTAACACACTTCACTGAAAAATAACATGGCTTGAGAGTACTATATTCTTCCTCAAGTTCACACCTCATACAATATTTCATCCAAACTCAACAAGCTCCTGGTTTTTGGAGCTTTCCCGTCCCATGATTAAAAGTAACATGAAAAAACTTAGATATCATTTTCAAGTGTCTGCTACAAGTTCTCCATTAAAACTACCTATTTGAAAAAGAGTTAAAAATGTGGTCCAAACTTGTAAAGTTGTCCACACACTACAATTATTTAGAGAACTTGAAAGTGAAACCCTTACGAAACTCTATCCCCGTTTTGTCCCCAGTAATATGACTAAGCTAAAGAGAACTTAAGGCAGACCATAAACTTCTAGCAGAAGGGAGCAACTAGACTGTGCAGATTGGCTTTGTTTGCTGCACTGAAATTTCCATGAAGATCATCCATGTTCCACAGGCCATCCCAGAAAGTATCATCGTTTGAGGGTTCTGGTGCAGGGGCATTGCCATTGATCATAGAGTAGAACCACCCTTGCTCTTCTATGGTGTTTTGGTACATTTCTTGCCTCATCTGAGATAAAGAAGGCATGGCCACTCTATGATCATGTTCCTCCAGAAGAGCCATAATCCCTTTGATGTCCAAGTTGAATTGCAGTTGCTGCAGCTGCTGTTGTTGCTGCATCTGCTGCTGCTGCTGCTGCTGCTGAAACTGTTGCCTCCTTATAAGGCGATTTTTCGCTTTTTCTGCAGAATCCGGGGAATTTTTTGCCTTCTTCTTGAAATGGGTCCGCCAATAGTTTTTAATCTCATTGTCAGTTCTTCCTGGTAAACTTCTTGCAATTGTAGACCACCTAAAATTTTATGATCCATCAACCAAAGCCTCATTACAAACTTGTCAATGAGAAAATCAACTCACTTGTACTTCAAAGTCCCAGGTATACTTCACCAAAGGGGCAAGAAAATGAAAAATTCAAGATGAAGAAAATAAGAAGAAAATCAAACTATACATACCTGTTTCCCCACCTAGCATGCAGCTCTAGAATGATACTCTCTTCCTGAGGTGTTATCTGACCCTTCTTGAGGTCAGGCCTCAAGTAATTCACCCACCTCAATCTGCAGCTCTTCCCATTTCTTTTCAATCCTGTTTCAGGCAGAAAGATGAAAGAAACATCATCATCATCCATTCAGAAACCTTAATTCTTTTGGCACACAAGTAGATAACTCAGATATAGCTACTCAAATCAGTAGAAACCAAGTCTGGCTTCTCTTGAACCATAGTTAGCCTACAAACTGTAATCATGAAAGGAACGTGACAGAGAGGAATCAAATAAGAAGGAGAGAGAGACAGATGAAGTTGAAGTTAAAGAAGTGAACCCGCAAGCCTGGAGACGGAGTTCCATCTGCCTTCACCATGAAGCCTAACATATTCAATAAGCAATCTATCTTCTTCAGCAGTCCAGGGACCTTTCCTCCAACCCTCTTCCTCTATCATGTTCATACCCCAACCCATGTTGTTCCCAGCCATGCCTCCCCAATACATAGCCAAAAAAAAAAAAAAAAAACTCTTTGGAAAGTTACAGCTTTTTTTTTTTTTTTTGCTTTTCTTCCCTTTTGAGATGCCAAATCTGTCTTCTAAATTCCTTGCACTACTGGTTTGGAGTTTGTGTGTTTGCTCCATATTTATAGTTGCAGCAAGCTATGCCTCCAATCCCTGTCACTGTTTATGGTATGGATGGCTTTTGGTTTTTTTTTTTTTTTAACTAAAGATATCTGAGATTTTTCTTTACAAATAAAGTGTGGTTTGTGCGGATATTTATATATTTATAAATGAAATAATCGGATCGTGTAAAGGATTCATCATATTTTTGAACTATATAATAATCGGGCAATCTGATTACATGATCTGTGTAGTACACATATCATTAATTAAAAAACAGATCATATTTTCTTAATGCTGTGAAATTCTGAACAGGAGTCCAGTTGATCTTAGAAAAGCATGCTTGTCAGTGTATTAAAATCGAACAACTTGTCCTTATTATGTAGTATCGTTTGGTAACTAAAGAAATATTTTGCTTATCACAATAATGAAAGAAATTATTTATTTTTGACTTAGAAAGCTTGGATTATATAAATATAGTACAAATTTTTTATATTTTAATATTTTTATTCTGAAAATAATAGAAAGTAAGTTGATTTTAATTATAAAAAATAAATTTAAACGATTCAAATAAATTATTTATTTTTGAAATAGAAAGTTTGGACCATATAAACATCGTACAAATTTTTGTGTATTAATATTTTATTCTGAAAATAATAGAAAGTAAGGTGATTTTAGTTATGAAAAAATAAATTTGAACGATTCAATAATTTTTGTTTTGTCGGAAGATATGAATCCTGAATTTCCACTGTCAACTCACCTCATTCTCACTATTTAAGTTAACCTCAAGTGGAACTTTCGTGATATTTTATTTTATCAACTGATATAATATGATTAATATTGAATGAAAGAAGTTTTTTTTCAATATACCTTTTTTAAAAAAATAAAATTCGAAACCTTGCTCCTTCCACAATAAATACTTACTTTTAGATGAGCTTAATAAACAATTTGTTTTTTAGCTAGTGACCAGATAATATTAAAGTGTATATTTTAATTACAAAAATATGTAATCAATATTAACATATACAGAAATTTATAGTTAACTATATTATTTATAAGTAATCAACAATACAATTTATCTAAAACACTATTTAATGTATATACAGTATTTTCTGTAAAAAGAAAAGACACGCACCATTCACGCTCACTATGTGGTTCAAACCTATAATAGAGGTGCCATTGGGTTATCGAATTAATAATAGGAAAAACGATAATAGAATTTTTTTAAAATATATAAATAATAATTTAATTTTTTAAAATGTCATAATTTTTTTTAAATTTTTTAAAATTTTTTTGTCATTGATGAAATTTATATAAATTATTAAATTATCTTTGTTAAAAGTAAATGATTCACAACTTTCCTTCTTATATTCACAACAATGCAACAACAAATTATAATTTTTCATTTAAATTCTTTATTTGTTGTTGCATTGTTGTGAATATAAGAAAGAAAGTTACGAATATTTAAACAAAATTTATAAGTTTTTTTATTTTCAATAAGGGTAATTTAGTAATTTATATAAATTTAATAATGACAAAAAAATCTCTAAAAACTTTAGGAAAATTGTGACATTTTGAGAAACTAAATTATTATTTTTATATTTTAGAGAGATCTTATTGTCATTTTTTATTAATAATATATATTCCCTCCATTTAAAAATGTAAAGCATTTTTAATTAAATCTCACCCCAATAAACTAATTACATACTTTTAAACTAAACCTATCTTTTTATATTTACTCCTATTAAACAACCTATAACAAATATAAAATTATTATTAATAGAAATATTTTTTTAAAAAATAATAATTATATCTTTAAAGATTAAAAATATTTTATATTTTTAAATATTTAATTTTTTAAAAATATTTTATATTTTTTAATAGAGAAGTATGTTGTTAATAAAAGACAAAAAGTGGAAGAGAAATTCAATGGGTTGTGGACACGTATGGGGAGGGCTGCAGCATTTGCGCGTCTAGACATAACATTGAAAAGCCCAAAGGAAAAACTTGAGTGACGAGGCACATATGAAAATTAAAATATGAATGAATGTGTAGGCTTTTTGAAAACTTTGAAAATTACAACATACCCAATGGGCTTTCACCATCTGTTCTTTTTGCTTGCTTCTCGCGGTCTGTATGCATTTGCAATGTTTTCCTGTTGCCATTTAGGGAATTGGGTGTGTTAAATATTCGTGTTATTAATGGCGTGTAAAGTCATATAGGGGACAGGTGTCCTCTTGTGATGTATTTTTGGAAAGATAGTGTTTCTCCAACCGCCAGAGGCATGAATTTTCCGTGTTTTCATGTGCAACCCGCTCAATATTGAATAAAAAATAAATTTATGGAAATAATTTCTGGAGTCGCCACATGATGCATCATTTATTTATTTTTTTAACAACATACTTTTTTTGTGGTCCAGTAACGTATTAGTTGACAAGGTATATCATTTTGGAAACACTTAAACCAGAAAATATTAAAAGCCATGTGGCTTGTTTGATGAAACAACTGTTTCTAGTGCCGATTATTACAGTGTCCGAAAAATAGAGACAAAAGCGAGCATTGAATTGATGGCTTGGAAATAAATATGCATAGGTGTATCATTATTTTATACAAAAATTATTCAAATTAAATTTTAAATATTTTATCTATTTTTTAATTTAGTAATATTTATCAATCACGGTCCAATCATGCAGATCTAAATCAATCATTAAGAAGCTTCCCTAATTTAAATTAACATGAGTTGGTAAGCAAGTGATGATACACAACCCAATCCCTGCCTAAAATTCTGAGACACTGGAACAATTCATTAGAGTGATCGACCAGCCTTTTTTTTCCCCCCAAGATCTAGAACCCACCGAAAAAATACCCTGGGTTTCATTTGATCCCCACCATCTTAATTAATTTAATAAAAAATAATAATCACAATAACACAATTTGTTTGCGTTGATAAACAAATTAAAGCTTATCATTCCTTTGCCCTTTTCATGGTTAATTAGATATCCATGAACATATATATGTACTACTATGCTGACAGAGAAGAAAAAAACTGATCATATTTATAAAACATTTGTCAATTTTTAATACTTCTCTTTATATATTTATCTTTATTAAATACTTTAAATAAAAATATTAAAGATGAGATTTAAGAATATTTATTAGAAATAAAGGTAAAAACTTGTTAAATTTTAAGATAAAATTAATAAAGATTAAAATTCTTCTTAATTTTAATAAAATATATTATAAGTGACTTATAAATAAGATCAAAAAAATATACATAGAAAGAGGTGAAAAATATATAGAGCAGAAATATCGGGAATACCAGCAATCCATGCCTAGTACGGAGAGATCAAATCTTATACAATAATAAAGTGAAAACCCTAATATTTATATACATACTTGTACCACTTAAACACTTCGTTTAACAGCTAAGCACAAATTTTCAAATCAAATAAACCAAAAAAAAAGTGGGTGCTGATTGAAAAAGAGATTCACGTTTATGATGTCAACAAAATAGCAAATTTTCTCTCCAATGTGTGCATACACACACACACACACGCATCTATAGTATATAATATTTCCCTGTGCTGTGTTCCTTTTTGAGTGTCTTTTCAACATAGATTAGGATCAAGGCCTTGGGATTTCTTTGTGGGGACACACTGAAGTATTTAATTTCAACTCAAGCGTGAAATTAATTAGTAGTTGGCTTCAGGCTTAATTAATTAGATTGTTCAATTGAATGGATGCACCTGTTATGCGGCTTTCTCAAGGCTTCTAGAAAATCGTTAGATATCATTATTGATAATTAATCTGACAATCTCTCCCATTTAACTCGGAAATTAAATTTACTCTCTTCAAGAATGTCAACATTTTTTAGATCATCAGCTCCTAAGAGATGACTTTCATCAGTCCGTAAGACCGAACGCCAAAAATTTTTAGATTTAATTCCGTGACTAGCAATTTATAATTACATTACTCCTATTATTCATTATAATTATATTACTCCTGTTATTCAGTAACATATTTTTCATTTATTTAACACTAGCATGAAATTAAAAACAAATATTGGATCATGCGCTTTGTCGTCGTCAGCTATAGACGGTGTAATCTATCTTTGCTTTTTAAGAGACTTGATGTTAGAAGTGAGCTTTCTTTTCTTAGCGCTTTTTAGACTTTTATTTATTCCATGTTTGTGAATTTTTCTTTATAAAAAATTTAATTCTATTAGTGAAGATTAATCTACTCATAATCCGGGTTCGATACAGGATTTTGGGACCCACAAGTGATAAGTACTAGGTTCATTCGAGGGCTAATATTAATTTATCGTGAGCGAAGATTTTGAAATCCTTCAATTAATTAATTGCAACTTGCAAAAAGTTTTTTGTACTTCTTTTCGGCCAAAAAAGTTTTTTGACAGGATGACCTACATACACTTTTTTGGCCGAAGAATGGCCTGTATATTTAAAATACATATTTTATCATCATAACACATCAAATCATCAATTATATAATTTTTTAAATTAAATCACATATTGGCCATGTTATATTAACTACTAATATACTAAAAGTCACACTTAATAAGGCACATGAACCTTCGAATAAGGGTTGGCTTTAAAAAAAATAATTAAATTTGAAATAATCAAACTTATTAGCATGAGCATATAATAGGTTTACCCATTTCCCAACTATATATATTAGCCATTAGCACTTCTCATAAACGGCCATTTTCCCAATATTTTCACAATGTGGTGACCTATATTTTTTAAAAAAATAATAATAATAAAAGTTCATCAAAATATATAAATAATAAATAAGTTCCTTAAAATATTATAATTTATCAGAAGTCTCTAAGTACTTTTTTAACATTAACTTTTTTAGGTTAAACATCCAAATTGTCCCTTATCTAAAACAAAAACAAAAAAATAATAAGTTTATGTGAGAAGTTGTAA